GTGGGCCTTGCAGGGGGAGTGGTAGCCCCTGTGGGGGCCATACCCCTTGTGTGGGGGACGAACACTTTGTGTGGGGGATGAACCCCCTGTTGGGGGGGCCAGACCCCTTGTGTGGGGGCCGAACCCCCTTTTGGGGGGCTGAACCCTTTGTGTGGGGTTCTGAACCCCATGTTGGGGGCCAAACCCTTTGTGCGGGGGATGAACCTGTATGGGGGCCAAACCTTTTCTGCAGGGGATGAACCCCTTGTGTGGGGACCGAACCCTGTTGGGCAGCTGAACCCTTTGTGTGGGGGGATGAAGCCCCTGTTGGGGGGCCAAACCCCTTATGGAAGGCCAATCCCCATTAGGAGGCTGAACCCTATTTTGGGGGGACTGAACCCTTTGTGTGGGGGATGAACCCCCTGTTGGGGGTCTGACTCCCTTGTGTGGGGAATGAACCCCCTTTTGGGGGGGCCAAACATTTTGTGTGGGGGCTGAACCCCCCCTGTTGGGGGGCCACAGTCCTTGTGTGGGGGCCATCACTCTGTAGGAGGGCAACAAAATATGTATTCATGAAACCTGCATTTAGAGTTCACTTTATTATGGAAAGAGACTTGCTTTAACACTGTAGATATGTCAATATAACATTGTCCAACTGATCACTATCTCTGTCTCATTCCCTCTCTTTCTTTACAGTGGTCTTTTGTTTTACTTGTGGAGGAACATGGATTTGGGGGTATTTTAGAGTGACTTTGGGGTTTTTTTTAATCAGGGATTTTTCAGTTTTCCAATAGGGAACACCAGAATTCCTGCTAGGTAGGCCAGTGGCAGGACCCTGCTTGCTCAAAGCTGGCACCTTGGACCTATCTGGCTGTGGCTGACTTCCTGGCCAAATGGGGCCAGGAGGACATGCTTTGACAGTTCAAAGCAGGCCACCACACCCAGAACATCTTCTGGGTGATAGCTGGCCAGATGGCTGGGCAGGGGACACACATGGCAGTAGTGCTGCACAAAGGCCAACCCTGCAACTGCAGTCCACTGGCAGCTGGCCCAGAGGGGCAGATGCCTCTATTGGCTCTGCAGTCCCCATCCAAGTCTGGCAGGTGCACAGCAGGTCACAGCCAGGCAGCAGCCCCCACTGCCAGACTGCTGCGGTGGGTTGAGGGTGCAGGGAACTCTCAGGGCTGCTTCAGCAGTCCAGCTGGCACAAGGGGTAATGTCCCCAGGTACCATTTGGCTCGGCCCTAGAAGCTTCTGAGAGCTAGTAGCCCTGAGCTACTTGCCAGGGCAGCTTTTTATACTGCTGGGGACAGCACAGGTGCTGGCCCTGGGCTCTACTTGCTCCCCCTGGCTGAAGATCCGGGAGGAGCCAGGTAGGTTTATTTTGCCCCAAGTGGCACAATTTGCTCCACAACAAAGTGCATGTCCAAGCACGTGCGCTGAAGCAAAAAGCCCCGGCTCAAATTTGCACCGCTTCTATTTGAGCTGCTGCAAGTGCACGTGCTTGCATGCATGGATGCGCCCAGAGATTTCAAATAGGAATCCATTCTGACATGTTGTGATCATTCTGAGTCCTTTGCAACAGAAGAATTGCTCTATTTTTCTGTAGTAAAAATAAGTGACAACTTAAGAGCTGGCATTTTTTGAAGGGTGCCTTGAGTCTAAGAACATTGAGAACCACAGTTCTAGAGATAAATGAGACCATACTCATGGATGTGGTCTAAGACTCCAAATACAAGAGGTACTTTGGATCACTGTAGTTCAGGTGATGCATCACTTCAGTGCAGGATGCATGATGGTAAACTACCCCAACTGATAACCGAGTATCAATCCTACCCATTATTGTGCTTGTACACCCTGCTTATCCCTCTTCATCTTAGACTATTTTAAGTATTAGAGTATCTGGAGTGACTCTTCAGCGAGTACATAAAAGTTAAGGGTAGTAGCAGGTTCTTCTGTGGATCTAGAGATTTCCTTTGAGAGCATGAGGATTTAAGTACTGAATTAAGCCCTTTTCCCATGAGGGCTTAAACCATGAGAGATGCACTCAACTGTGTGGCTTGGGTAGTTGGGGGATATGCACAACAAGCAGCTGAAAGGAAAACCTGTGGCTAGGATTTCACTTTTGTAATACATGCTACTTACTCATCCATTCCCATGAAGTCTTAGCTATGTAATGAGATCAGCTGATTTAGTATTTTCTTCACTACTCTCTGAAAGTGTTTACAGCAAAACCCACTATGACAAGTTAGCTAAAATGCGTACATAAAGGAATACATCTGAGTAATTGTGATTGTTGGTGTATACTACATCTAGGAATGACTAAATTGTAACAGACCCACATAAATGAAGCTGGCTATAGATCAGTGAAATATCCCAACAGTGGTAGCCAGTGTTGTTGTTACAGACCATGTAAATGTGTAGTAATAATGCCATAAGTTCACAATTAAAAGATTTTATTTCAACTGTAAGAGGAACATTTACACATTAGCACGAGTATGTACAATTTAAATATTAGCCTTTCAGAAAGAAAACTAAATAGTTGAAAATGAGCTATCCTAATTTGAGACACTGTGTGTTAAAGCTATCACCCTCTTTGACAGCTACAGCCTCGAGCAGAGCCTGCTTCTTCTGCATACTGCGGGATGACTCCAATTCATACATAGTTGTCAAATTGAAAAGAACACTCTCATGTAGGTAGTGTTTAGGGTCCTGCTGAACCATTCCTTCCAGTTGCCGGAGGGAATCCTTCAATTTTCCCAGATAAAGCAGACAAACAGCAGCATTGTTATTAGCCTGGAGAAAAAGATATTATGTATTGTATTATGTATAAGTCTGGAGTCAGACCAAATTTGCCAAGTATTTAGATTTACTTATTCCCTGCCTTAGTCACTCCCTCCTCCCCCCAAATAATTGCATTTTATGGATTGTCTTCTTCAATATGACCCAATTCTCACTTTCTGGGCAGTGGGGGACCAGTAATTCTCAGAAGCTGCCCTATAGCAGCAGGACCTATTGACCTACAACAGCTGAAGTTCTCAAAGACAGAAGAGCTTCAGCTGGTTTCAAGACTGGCTGAGGAACACTACTCATTAGTACATGTTAAAAGCGAGTTGAAATTGGTTTCAGAAAGTACACCTGCCCTGAAGCCCTGTTAGTTCTTTCAGCTTTACAATTATATCCTTCTATTTTCAAATATGTTTCTCTCCCCTGATGCTGTGTGAAAGCTCCACCCAAACAACAGGGGGAACTGATTTACTACAGAAACATGTCAGAAACTGCCTTTTAAGCTAATGGGGTTGTTCACCAACCAGGGCAGCCCAAATAAATCCCAGAAGTCAAGTTATTTTTCTCTTTCCTCTGCAGGAAAGAGAAAAGTTTATCAACATGAGTTACAATAATACAAAGGGCTGCTTAGCAACAGGAACTCCCCCACTTTCTGAAAGCTTAGGGAAGAACATGGCCTTTTTCTCTAGAGAGCTCTATTAGATCTACCACAGCTGAAGGGAGATTGCCTCAATTTTCAGCAGATACATTTGTAGTTCAATGTCACAAGACTCTTACTTAGGTACTCCCTGAACTCAGGTGTCTGCAGTTTTAAAGTGGCCTTGGAACAGTGCAGTAGAGATACATCCAGATGCCCAAGAATCAGCTCATTCTCAAGTAATTGCATACAGAGTGCTGTCAAAAATGCAAACAACTGAACTGAACAAAACTGATAATTCTCTAATCTCTCAATGATTGCTAAAGCTTTCATTTGCAAAATGTTAAAAAATATTTACAACTTGATAGTATCTCTTTGATGTCATATGTCAACAAATCAATTCCTTTATGTTGATAGCTGCCATTTCATTGTACACCTTGTAATTCTGACCTAAAACAAACAATAAAAGCCATACATACAAACCCTTGCAGAGCTGTCTTGAAACAAAATAAAGTTGAATATATGCATAATAATCTCATCCTTCACAGAAACAGGTTTTTTCTTCCCTTGCTCATCTATGTCTTATCAATGTTTTGTTTGGACCTTGTTTCACTTTCATATAAAGCTCCCAAGCCACCCTGGGCACTCAAATCTAATGGATTCAGGAATCACTCAGGTGTCAGTAAACTGTAGAAAAGGTGGAGGTTTACCACAGCATTTGATGGGTCAATCCTTAAAATTTCTGTGAAGAATCTGTGAGCTTCTGCAAAGTTATTCTGACCAAGATGGAGAAATGCTCTAGAAAGTAAGGTACATGTAAATTAATTATCATGAAACACTTAAAGCAAGAGTATATTTCAAAGGAAATGACACCATTTTTTATTTCCCTATGATCTAAAAGTTTTTGACATTTGCTCTTCACAGTGTAATCTTGAGCCAGCACAGAGACACTGATTCACAGATAAATGAAGTGACATCATTTGACCATTTTACTTATTCTGTCCACCAAAGCAATACTCTATACTATTTTTATTAATTTAAATGTTATTAGCATTCTTAAAGTAATTTCTCTTATGGAAAGAACAACCACTCTATCTGTTTCCAGAACATTTTTCATAGTATTATTTGTCTAAACATTCAGTCATTGCGATAAACTGAATTCCCCAACATGCAGTTGGATTTTCTGCTGTAACCCCTAGCACCTGCTTGAAGATACCATGCATAGGGATATTTACTACCAGATTTGTTTGCAGGATAAAGGTTCAAGAATAGCTCGTCTGTTCCCAAGACTTTTTTAGGCAAATACATATATAGAGAAAGCAGAGTTAAAATGTAATCTGCTTTGAAGAGCGAGCATTAGCTTTGTAAAATCAGTTCTGGTAACTAAATGATCATAATTTTGATCCAGAATAATGCGAATACACCAAGTAATACAGATCTCATGGGTCTACATGCCATTCAGCCTCATTTGTGACAGATGTAGTTATATAAAAGAGAGGGGATACTCTCAAGAGTACTTTAATATTCTTAACGTGTACTTTGCAAAACCATATTTTTAATTTTCAGTTAGCTATTGAACTACCTACCTGTTCATTAAAACCATAATTTGATTCTGTAGGCCATTCAACTTCTGAGTAACATTCTCAACATCTTGAAAGTATTTTTCAGCAGTTTTTATATCTCCAATCTGGAGGATAAGATCATAAGAAAGTTGTTACAATCAGAAGACGACATAAGAGATCCACCTATACGGTGTCTTAATGGGAGACTCTTCCACAAAGAATAAGAATTTGAACAGGTATTATATATCTGATATGATTTTGTATCACTGTGCGTGGGGTAAGGCAATTATCAAGTGAGATGCTTACAATTCCACTTGAGAATCGCAGCAACAACAAAAAAAAAGTTCAATTTTCTCTCCATTTAACACTGTGATTCTCCAATTGCAATCTGTGGAGCTTTGGCTCAGCGATGGCTCCACTTCTTTATTTCTAGCTGTTTTTAAAGGCATCCAGGGTCCTCTTTGCAAATAATTTAGTTTGTAAAACTTGCTAGAAATGAGAAGATAGCAGAGCTACCTCTAATAAGGGATGATGATGCTATTGCACAGGAGAGGAAATAGTACCTATTGCAGACTTAGGGACCGCTGGACAGTACTCTGCCACTCAAATGCGACACAGGAGCCATCTTGAGTGTCAGTAAAGGAAACTGTAGAGGTGGTCCTGACATGAATTTAGAAGTATTAGACTAGATGATACAAGAGAAAGCCCTAATGGATTTGGGAGCTGGCAGAAAGCAGACTAAAATAAATCATTTGGAGTGGAGGATGGCAGGTTGTAAAGGGTTGAGGTGGAATTTCATTTTTTTGGGGAAGTTCCTTTGTAAAATTTTTTGCAGAAACCACTCACATCTGCAAAATCATGAATATGCAAACCACTCAAAAGCTGCCAGGTGAGAAGTCATTTTTTGACCATAATATACCTTGCCTGATGGTCAGAATTAATTTAGGAAGAGCAAAGTGCAAAACACTGTCAGAACCGAACTGTATCTTTACCTTTTTGTATTCAAGAGAACCATTTGCTAGTCTGAATTAGGAGAATTTCTCCTCTGTGCTCTCTAAAATTCAACACTATTAAAATAGCTCTGTTCATTTGTCTTTGACATGAAAATATCACAATTATTTCTTTTACCCATCCATGTGGTAGAATGCAAAACTTTTACTTTCTGGTTTAAGTAATGTCATTCCAGAAGATGAAGGCAAACACCAATCAAAAGAGAAAATGAATCATATCATTTAATTCCAAAAGGAAGTGCAGGATGGAAAAGATAAATTATTTAGGCAGTTTGCAGAAGTTTGTAAATATAACAAATATAACATAAATATAACAAACCTATAATATATCTATCTTAAGCATTTAGAGGGCGTTCATTATCCCACAGTCTAGGTGAAGCTGATGTACTTCGACATAACACTGCACAGCTGGATTCAGGAAAAAGTAAACACCATGCCTTCCAAACCTTTTTCAATTCAGATTAATTTTTAAAATCTTTTCTAATAAAGAATAAAAACCATAGGAAAAAGTTATTTATTTGCAATATCTAAATAACATAAATATAGAATGAGGTGATTGCTATTTAACTTTAGATTTGGTTGTAGAAAATGCAATTTTTAATTTAAAATCTGGATGTTCTTTTCTGTATTACATGTGGTCTTGACATATCTTGACTTCAAAAAAGCCTTCGATCTGGTATCCCACGATCACCTCTTGGCAAAACTGGCCAATTGTGGCCTTGGGTCCACCACAATCCGCTGGCTGGGAAATTGGTTCCACGGTTGGACCCAGAGGGTTGTAACTGATGGCAGTCACTCATCATGGTGTCCTGTGACCAGCGGGGTCCCCCAAGGCTCTGTCCTTGGACCCATATTGTTCAACATCTTCATTAATGATGTGGACACTGGAGTCAGGAGTGGACTGGCCACGTTCGCCGATGACACCAAACTTTGGGGCAAAGCATCCATGCCAGAAGCCAGGTGGGTGATCCAGGCTGACCTGGACAGGCTCAGCAAATGGGTGGACGAGAACCTGA